TGGTTCAACAGCCCCTTTATGATCCCTTTTTGCTCCATGCAGCTCAGCGTCACAGACAAAGGGAGGCACCACCCAGTCCTCTTCCTTCTTTTGCTAATTCCTGCATTCTTTCATTCACCCAACAGATCTCCATCGAGCTCTTATCACAAAATAAATATAAACAAGGCTAGCAAAGTCCTTGTCCTTCTGGAGCTTCATCCAAGAAGGGGAGATGGACCAATTAAATGCACTGTTGTGGGCTGAACTGTGTCCCCCCTCCCAAAAGTTCACGGGTTGGGGTCCTGACCCCCCCAGTGCCTCAGGATGTGACTATTTGGAGATAGGGTCTTTAAAGGGATAATTAAGTTAAAGTGCGGTCACCAGAGTGGCCCCTAATCCAATACGACTGGCGTCCTTAGAAGGAAATCTGGACACAGACATGGACAGAGGGACAACCATGTGAGGACACAGGGAGAAGGCGGCCGTCTGCAAGCCGAGGAGGGAGGCCTCAGAAGAAACCAGCCCTGCTGATGCCTTGATCTTGGACTTCCAGCCTCCAGAACTTTGAGGAAATCAGCTTCTGCTGTTGGAGCCACTCAGCCTGTGGTACTTTGTTACAGCAGCCCTAGCAGACTAATACTGGCCTAAATATAGTAGGGATTTAGGCGGCTTTGACCAGGGGAGGAATCATGATCTGATCTACAACTTGCAAGTATTGCTCGAGCTGCTCCATGGAGATCCACTTGAGGAGGACAAGAGGAGAAGCACAGAGAACAGGAGGCCACAGATGGATGTGAGGTGTAAGGGCCACAGAGGGACCGAGGATGACTTTCGGATTTTTGGTCTAAGCCGTGAGTCAGCAAACTGCAGCCTCCGGGCCACAGAGTAGGTATTTACAGTCTTACGGGCCATGCGGTCTCTGTCACAACCACTCGGCTCTGTAGTGTGAAAGCAGCCACAGACAATACGTAAATGAACGGAGTGGCTGTAGGCCAGCGAAACCTTATTTTTGGACACCGAATCTTGAATTTCATGCAATTTTCATGTGTTCCGAAATAGTATTCCTTTGATTTTTTTTTTCCCACAACCATTTAGCTCACAGCTGAACAAAAACAAGAGGAGTGGGATGCGGCACGTGGGCCATGGTTTGCTGACCCGCGGCCTTGAGACCCTAGCTTTGTAGCAAGAATCTAGACAAACGCCTTCATATCTCATCGCTTCCCCTTGACGTTGTGGGGTGGGTATCATTGTGATCCCCACTTTACATGCGGGAAAATTGAAGCCTGGAGTAGTGGAGCTTGGGGCTGAGCCCAGCCAGGTCCACGCCGCAGACTATTTTCTTAGCCACGCCATGATGCCTCCTCCGTGATCCAGCCCGGCTTCCTCGCCGTGATCTAAAAAGGCACGCACCCCTGCCTGCTTCTTCAGCCCCCTCTCAAGCTGCTCGGCCCACGCTCTAGCAAAGTGGAGTAGGACTTCTTTAAGGTCCCTCAATGCACCAGATTGTTTCAAGACTGAAGACCATTTTGCTGCGTGGAATAATTTTCTGCTTACCCCTCCCTGAGCCTGCCTTATGCGTCCTCATTTGGCACATCTCTGCTTAGATGGTGAGTTTTTAGAGAAGCCTTCCTGACCACTGCCACCTAAGTCTACATTCGGCTATATTTTCTCATACTCTTTGCCTCTTTTTTGTTTTGTAAAGACCGAGGGTACAGCAATACTCTTTACCTTTTATTTATAGCATTCACCACAGTTGGTACTTATTAGTATAAATATTGATTTATATGAGTATTGTCCCTTTATCTCACTTCTGTCTTCCCACATTGGACTATAAATCCATGAGGGCAGCAAACTTCTCTGTCTCGTAGCTCTAAAACATAGAAGGACGGAAACAATAGAACCTGAATGTGTCCCTTTATCTAGGAAGACCTCAAAAGCCCAACCCACCCCGATCCCTGACACCCAGTATAACCACAGTGATTACAACCTCAGATCCACACTGACTCTCATTTCACTGTACGATTTGCAGGGCCTGTTCATGCCCAAGACTTCCATTAAACACTTTTATATCAACACTTTCCCCTGCACCCCCAGGAACAATGCAGGTGTGAGTTCAATAATAACGTCAGCACCAACTTTCTACCAAGCTATAAATTCCACGAGAATAGGTGTCATCTTATCTTATTCTCATTCTATCCCCAGTGGTACCTGGCACAGCATCTAGCGCTTGCTAGATATTAAAGGAATACTTGTGAAATGAATGGACGTATGAACAGATGGATAAATAGATGGTTGGAGGGAAGGAAGAAGGAAGCAAAACAGGATGGAAAAGAAAGAAAAAGAGAGGAAGGGGGAGGGGAGAGGGAAGAAACCCCCAGATCCATGGAACGGTAAATGAATGGTTGGCACTTGATACATGGATACCTGGATCAGTTCATGCATATGAGGAGATTTAAGCCCAGAGATATAAAAACGTTTGTCTTTTTATATTACACAGCTTTTAAGAAGTTGGGACTCCAAGCAGATCTTTTTGATCCCTGTTGATTTCCCGGGCCATCTTTTGCAACGGTATCCCTGTCACTCTCCATGGAACTGTTTCTAGCTTGGTTACCCAGACGTTGACATTTCCAATGTCCCCTCTTCAGAGAGGCCCTAACTCCCTGCAGTAAATCAAGTGTTCTCATCGTACACTCTTACGGAATGCTACTTTTCCTTCATAGCACTTTCTGCAGTTTGTAATTGTGAGATTATTTGTATTAGTTCTGGGTCCTTAATCAGATGATAATCTCCATGAGCCACCCTTCTGTCTTGTATACTCTTATAATATTCCACATACATATATATATACACAGTTGGCCTTCTCTATCTGACGGTCACATATCCAAGGAGTCAACCAACCATAGATCAAAAATATTTTTAAAAAGGATGGTTGCATCCGTTCTGAACACGCACAGACTTTTTTCTTATTATTATTTCCTAGATAAAACTATTTACATAACATTTACATTATAGTAGGTATTATAAGCAATCTATAGATGATTATAGTATATGAAAGGATGTGCATAGGTTACATGCAAATAATACACCATTTTGTATAAGGGACTTGGAGTGGATTTTGGCATCTGCGAGGAGTCCTAGAACCAATCCTCCATGGGTACCTAGGGATGACTGTGGAGACATGGGTGTGTTCCAATGAATTAAATGAATTAATGAACAAATAAACAAAATGAAAGGGGATGACTGGATCTTTTCCCCTTTATCTAGGGGGAGGTCTCTAAGGCAACAAAACAGTGATAAGAATGTGGTCATTGTTATTTTCCACTTGTGTCTGCTTCCGGACACCCAGCGTGTCTCTCTGGCTTCATCCTGCATCAGGCCTCAACCTCACTTATTAATCAAAGCCACCGTATACGCTTACACAAGCTTTGCTTTGCTTTAGATTCTAATCTTTATTCTTTTCCTCAAACTTGTGAAGTATTTTACAGTCTTTGTACATGCTATGTTATCACCACCGTCATAACCAATATCACCACCACCATCATCATCATCACCACCACCCTCACCACTACCATCATTACCAACATCACCACCACCACCATCATCACCATCACCATCAACAACATTACCAACATCACCACCACCACGATCACCACCATCACCGCCACTGTCATCACCACCACCATGACCACCATCACCAACATCAACATCACCTGTTCCACCACAATGGTCACCACCATACTTTAGATAATTCCGATTTATCCTTCCATTATCATCATAAGTGACATTTCTTGGGGAGTTTCTCTGACACACACTCCCACCACAGTGTGGACCCTTAATATACTTTATCATAACTCTCATCACAATTATAGTTGAATTATTGTTTGCGAAATTATTGGTTACAGTTTACCTCTGGCTCTATAAGAGCAGACAAAGTGTCTCTCTTATTAGTCTTGTATCTCTAGCCCTTACCAGGCTACCTAGGACATAGTAGGTATTCATAATACACAAAGAATAAAGAAATGAAGTTTATATAATTAATGATTTTTCTATCTACCTTATGAAACATTTGACCCAATAAGGAAACCAAAGTCCAGAAAATAAAGGGAAGCTTCCTAAGGTCACATGGTGATATAGGGCACAGCCTAGGCTAGACCTTAGACCACTCTCAGTTAAGCATTCTTTCCATCATACCATGCTGAGTCTACAAAGATCCCACAAAAACATAGTTTCCAAAATGCAATGATGAGGTGAGGTGATGAGACATACTTTGGAAGAAGAAGATCAACTTTTAAGTCCCACATCTGCCGTCATGAATTGTGTTACCATGAGTATTGCATCTGACTTCTCCGACCCCAATTTTCTTATCTATGAAATGGAGGATAGCAATCCATACCTTAGTAGCACTGTTATAAGGATTTGAACAGGATGTACAATCAATTGAAGTTTTTACTGTTATTGAGGGCTACATTTCAGAAGATGCAGCATTTTATTTTTCGACTCCAAGAATACAGTAGTCCTTGCAGATCTCACATATCAAATCTAAAAGAGTGTTTGGAGACCATCCAATTCTGAGCCAACAAAAGAGCCTGGAACTCTCCCATCTTTGAGCCTACTACATCCCTTGGGCTTCCCTATCCTCTCAACATGAAACAATGCTCAGAAACCTCTCCTTATCTCCCATAATGCGACAGTGTTTGGGTTCTCCAGGTCCACATCTAAAAGAGTGTTTGGAGAGCCTTCAATTCCCAGCCAACTTTAGGGCTTGGGATTCTCCCATCCTTGAGCCTACTATAGCCCTTGGACTTCCTCCCAATTCCCAGCATGCAACAGTACTTGGAGTTCCACCTCCCAGCATGCAGTAGTGCTTGGAACCCCCAGCTTGCAATGATACATAAAGATCCCATCTCCCAGCATGCAACAGTGCTTGGAGTCCCCACTCCCAGCTTGCAATGGTGCATAGAGATCCCATCTCCCAGCATGCAATAGTGCCTGGAGATACTCCCAGCATGCTCTGTCCTCAGCCTCCAGGCTCTCAACCCTCACCTGAGAGGCCAAAGCAGACAGCTCCAACTCGGAGCAGGAACTCTGCACCTTTGCTGAGCACCATGATGACAGAGAGGCATCCCAAGGCCATGACTGCCAGGCTCAGCACTGCTATCACCGCAGCTGCCAGATTCACTTCTGTAAGGAGGGGAGAGGGAAGAAGCAGAGCATGTGGGATGTAGGGAATGGGGAGGACTCATCTACAGGGACTCAGAACCAGGAAGATGTACAATTCAAGACTGGAGAGGAATGAATATTCAAGCAGAAGATCACCCAGCCCAACATTTTACTTATGCAGTTTAAGGAACTAAGCCTCAGAGAGGGTCAGTTATTTGCCTAAGAACACAGAGCAAAAAGCAGACAGAGCCAGGATCAGAAAGAGATGGAAATTACTAATCATTACTTATGATCTGGTCACCATTCGTTTACAGGTGAGGAAACTGAGGCAGCAGGATGTGTGGGAGACAATGGCAAAGGTGGTGTGTTATAGTGGAGTGATCCAAGTCAGAATCCTCCTCAGCCACTTCCTAGGTGGAAGATTCTGGTAAAGTCATTGAACCCCTCTTGGCCTCAGTTTCCTCCTCTGGAAAATCAAGAATGAAATCTCTATCTGATTGGGCTGCTGTAAGAATTAGAAATCCCCTGGCAGAGGAAGGGACAGTGCAGTCAGGAACTCACTCCTCTAGCATGGTCAGCATACCCTCCACCCCTCGCCCACCATAGGCTGGAAAATTCTCACCTTTCTTTGTGGTTCTCTGGAAGATGCGTGCATTCTCCCCCGTGGTGAAGAATTTAAAATAGGTGCAGTTTGCTTCTGTGAGAGCAGAAGACGGAAAAGAGGAGGTGATGATACAAGATCCCTTGTGTGAGCTCAGGGCTGGACACTTAACATGGCTCAAAAAATCTAAAACTAGGACATCAGCACCCCGGATATACAGAGGAGAAAAATGATGCTCAGAGATGGAAAAGCCACCCACTGCCACACCACCATGCAGGAGCTGGGATTCCAACCCGGAGCTGTGAGGTCCAGATCCGTGGCCTTGAGTGGGCCCTTAACCTCCCTGGGCCTCTGATTCTTCCTTTTTAAAATGAGATAATAATCTTTTTCCTGGCCCCTTTGTATGGGATTGTTAAGGGTCGAGTGGGATTAGAAATAGATAATCACTTTATTCAAAAAAGGACACCAAGATACAGGAAACAGAAGGCTAAGAGGCTCAGAAAGGCTTCCCATCTCAAAATGGACTCCTGCCTGGAATACACAAAGAGCGCCTGCAGATTAGCGAGAAGAGAGGGGTAACCCAACTGAAAAACAGGCAAAGGGTAAGTGGGAATTCAGAGAAGAGAAAGTCTGGATAACCCCCAAGTACACGAAGAGATGCTCCACTTCACCAGGGATCACAGAAATGCAATTCAAATCAGCGGGGAGGTACCACTTTTGATAAATTAGGTTGGCAAATATTAAAAGGGTAGTATCAAGGGCTGGACGCGGTGGCTCATGCCTGTAATCCTAGCACTCTGGGAGGCCGAGGTGGGTGGATTGTTTGAGCACAGGAGTTCGAGACCAGCCTGAGCAAGAGCGAGACCCCGTCTCTACTAAAATTAGAAAGAAATTAGCTGGACAACTAAAAACATACACAAAAAATTAGCCGGGCATGGTGGTGCGTGCCTGTAGTCCCAGCTACTCGGGAGGCTGAGGCAGAAGGATTGCTTGAGCCCAGGAGTTTGAGGTTGCTGTGAGCTAGGCTGATGCCACGGCACTCTAGCCCGGGCAACAGAGTGAAACTCTGTCTCAAAAAAAAAAAAAAGAAAGAAAGAAAAGTCCCTTCTGGGACAGTGTGGCGTCCCGTTTTGGCTACTGATGATTTAGGACATCCTGTCTCTTGAGCCCCAGAGGATATGGCATATCCCATCTGGAAAAGTGTAGGGTATGCGTCACCCCCCTTGCAGGCAAGGGAGATCGGGGATGTTTTTGACGGGCAGTGGGAAGTACGGGACGCTTCTCTGAGACGATGAAGACGATGAAGATTGGGAGATGCCCTCTGAGGGCTGGGGTTGTGGGATGATGGTAACAGCCCTGTAAGAAGATTGAAGTCCTTTCTGACCGACAGAGGGGATAGCGAGGGATGTGAAGGACCCCATACACGCAGTGAGGTGGGATGGACATGCCCTCCAGTGCAGCGAGGACCTCCGGGACCTCTTTGTGGAGTAGTGAGATGTGATATAATGTAGCTGTTAAGAACAGAGACAACCCGGGTTCAAACCCCACATCACTAGCTTGGGTGCACAGACTGAGTGACTGAAATTCCTTTCTCCTCATTTTTCTCTTCTGTAGAATGGGGGTGATAATAACTATTCATGGGGTTTCTGTAATGGTAAATGAGTTAATGCATGTGAAGTATTTAGAACAGAACCGGGCACTACATAAGCATCTAATATTTTTATCACCAGGGCATCTATTTTGCAAAAGTTTGGGATCGTCCTGTTTGGGATCCTGAGGGGCAAAAGGCAGCCCATCTGCAGAAGTAAAGCGTTTAATGAAGACAGCCTATCTGGACGCCAAGTGGGTAGCTCAGAGTGCCTGGCACCGTTCATGTTACCAAGGGCTTGGAACATCCTATCCAGGGTGCCGTGGATGTAAGATATCACACCTCGAGAAGTAAAGGACAGGGAAACCCCATCTGGAGTCCAGAAAAACAGGAGATATTCTCTGAGGGGCACTGAAGATTATAGTCCATTCTTTGGAGAGGAAAGAGTGTGAGAGATCTCATATGGGCGATCAAATATAGGACAGCCTGAATGGGCTCTGAGGAGTGTCAGATACTTCCCCTGGGTCAGCAGAGGTAGAATGAGGTTTCATCCAGTTCCCAAGGGGTATAGAATGTCCCACTGGTGTAAGTACAAGGCAGGGCATGTCCTGTCAGAGAGGACATATGTCTGCCCTGGGATGTTGGGAGCTTCATTTGGTGGCATCAGTGGGTGGGGAACAGGCACAGATTCTACTTGGGGGTGGGCGTTAAGGTGGTCTGTCTCCCCAGGGCTCACAGGATGGGGGTGCAGGCTGTATCCAGGGTGGGAAGAGCAAGCTGACAACAGGAACCCAGACTGTCTCTCTAGGGGCACAGGCTGTCTGTGGGCACATGCACAGGGGCACAGGCTGCCTCAGCGGGCGCAGGCATTTCTGGAGGATGCAGGCTGTCTGGTGCGGGTACGTGCTGTCTGAGGGTACCAGCTGTGTCTGGAATAACCAGCTGAGTCTGGGGACACAGGCAAGGTTTATCTAGGGACATAGGCTCTGTGGAGCTACAGGCTGCTCTAGGGGCACCCAGTAATGCCTGGGAACACTGGCTGTGTTAGGACAGGGTTTTTGGGGGGTCATAGGATGATCTGGAGGCATAGACTGGTCTGGCGGAAGAGGCTATAACTGGGGACACAGGATGGTCTGGGGGTACAGGATAGTTGGGGGGCACAGGATGGTCTTGGGGCCCAGGCTCTCTTTGGCAGCACAACATAGTCTGGGAGTACGGGCTGTAGGTGGGGGCCCAGGCTCTCTGGCAGCACAGAACAGTCGAGGGATACAGACTGGTCTAAAGTCACAGCCTGGCCTGGGGCACAGGCTGGTCTCGGGGTACAGGAAGGCCGGGGAGTACATGCTAGTCTAGGGGCTCAGGCTGGTCTAGGGGCATAGCCATACCAGGGGCAGAGGCCACAGCTCGAGGATAAGTTTGAGGGCACAGATTACAAGGAAGCCCAGGTTTTCTGGGGCCACAGGCTGTAGCCGGGGGTACAGGCTGGTTTCAGGGTATAGGCTGTAGCTGGAAGACAAGCTCTGCGGCACAGGTTCTCGGGGGCAGGCCAGCCAGGGACACAGGCTATGGCTGGGGGCTCGCCCTCTCCCTTCTCTCTCTCTAACACTTTCTGGGAGCAGAGGCTGATGTGGGCGAAGGCTCTTTCTGGGGACGCCAGCTCTCGCCCTGGGGCCCAGGCTTTCTCGGGGGGCCCAGGCTGTCTCTGGGGCACGGTTTTCTCAGACGCGGGCCCCTCTCTCTCACGCCCTGTCTGCGGGACACAGCCCTGGGTCGGGGCGGCGGCCTCTCACCTCCGGGCAGCTCCGCGGGGCCGCAGGTCTGTCTGCCCGCGGGCACGTCCGCCTGCCACAGCCGCTTGGTGCACACCTTCCACAGCCCCAGGTGGGCGGCGTCGCAGACGGCGCTGCCGTTGGCCTTGTAGGTGTTGAGCTCCACCCAGAACTCGGTGCCCACGGACAGCACCGCCAGCGTGGCGCCCACGGTGGCCAGCAGCAAGGCCAGCTTGATCTTCCCCTCGCGCTCGGGCGTCATCTCGGCCCCCTGCTGCCCGCGCGCCCTCCGCAGGCCCGCGGCCGCCCGCCGCCGGTTCTCCTCTTGCAGGAAGAAGTTGGACCACATCATTGTCCTTGTCTCCGACGGGGCGCAGGGCAGGTTCCGGAGGAGGCAGAGCTGAGCAGGGGGCTTGGGGGCGGGAGCGCGGAGCGGCCTGGGGTCTTGGGGCCGGGAGGGGCTGCGTGTCCCCGATTACTAAAGAGGAAGATCCCAGTCCACCCTGGAACCTCGGTTGGGAAAGTCGGGGTCGCCTCTGGGATTTAGAAAAGAAAAAACTAGATCCCCGAGCTGGGTACCCCTGAGGTTCAGAGGAGGGCCTGGGGTGCCCTCAAGGACTGAGCAAAGAAAACGGGGCCCAGAGTAAAAGCGAGGTCCCCCTGAGGCCCAGAGATAGAGCCTGAGTCCTCAGAGCGGGCCCTGCGGGCTCTGGAGGAAGAACCGGTTCCCGCTGAAGCTCTGAGGGGCCGTCCCGGTCCCCACTGGGAGGACAAACAAAAGGGAAAGTGGTTTTCCTGAGGGAAGGGATCGGAGCACCCCACTAGGGCTCCGAGTTTGGGGTGCCCAGGAAGGGGACTTGAGTTTGAAAGGAGACGTGGGTTGGGTTCCTTTAGGCTCAGTTTGAGGAAAGAGAACTTGGGTCCCCTCTGGGATTCAGTAAAGGAAAACTGGGGAGCTCCCCAGGGGAGCTCAGGCGGGGAGGGAGTCTCAGGGAGGCAGTGGGATCCCAGCCTTCACAGCAGGGGAGCAGCAGAGTCCTGGCGGGGTTCAGGGGAGCACTGGGGTCCAGCTGGAGTTCAGGAAAAGGGGTTGGGGGCCTCCCTAGCCATTCAGACCAGAGATCAGAGAAGGTCGCTACTAAGGCTGAGCGGCACAGGAGTCCAGAAAAGGAGGCCCAGTAGCCCCTACGGCTCAGAAGGGGGCCTGGGGCCCCCACTGGGGCTCAGACCAAGGCACACAAAGTACTCCCAGGGTTCAAACGACAACTGGGACCAGAAAGAGACTTTGAGTCCCTTCGGGATAACTCCGTCCTCCTCCCCCGGGCTCCCAGGGCCTGCCCGGCCTGGACCGCTCCAGGCTCAGCTCCAGGCCGGGCCCTCCCCTCGGGCCTCCCACCCCGGTGTCCTGGGCAGGGGCCCCTCTCGCTCTCCTGCCTCCGCGCCGCGCCGCCCCCAGCTCCGCGACGCCTCCGAACCGTCCGGCTCTGCTCGCCAGCGCCTCGCCCGCCGGACTGGCCCCTGCGCTCTCCCGGCTCGCGCCCCTCCGCCCACCCCCTTCACCCTCCCGGGCTATTTCGGGCTCGACCCGTAAATAACACCCGCACCTGTCGCCTGGCGCCTGTTGCCATAGGGATCCCGGGTATTTTAAGGGGACGAGAGGGGAGGGAGGAGGCCGCCCGGAGAGGAGGGGCTGGGGCCGGGTCCTGCAAAGGTCCGAGCCGAAGGGACTTTCCTTAAGGGGCAAGGGCGGGGGCTGAGAGTCCCAGGTCCACAGTCACCCGGCGGGCGGGCGAGAGAGGGGGCGGGCAGCCCACCTGAACTGCTGGGGCTCCCAGGGAGGAGGGGGCTCGGGCCGCGACTCCTGGATCTGAGGGAAGAAGGACCTGGGACCGGGTCTCCTGGGTCTTGACTAAGGAGGGGGCTGGGGGCCTGAACCCCTGGTCTGAGGCAGGAGGGGCTGGGGGCCCAGAATCCTGGGTCTGAGGAAGGAGGGGGCTAGGGGGACCCCTGGGTCTGAGGCAGGAGGGGCTGGGGGCCCAGAATCCTGGGTCTGAGGCAGGAGGGGCTGGGGGGAGAGCCCCTGGGTCTGAGGGAGGAGGTGCTGGGGATGGGACCCCTGCGTCTGAGGGAGGAGGGGCTGGGGGCCCAGAATCCTGGGCCTGGAGGAGGAGCCTGGGGCCAGAATCTTGGTCTTGAGGGATAGAAGGACCTATACCCATGTTGGGGTCCTTAGCCCCCCGGAGGTAGGAAGGGCCCACTCCAGGGAGAGGCCGGCTGTCAGGGGCGCGGCAACCAGAGCAGCAGTCCTCTTCATCGAGTTTATTAGATGGGGCGCCCCCGGGGGACCTTCCATGCAGTTTCAGCTCCCCCAGGGGCAGGGACGGGGGACAGCCGTGTGGCATGGCAGCAGGGCCTGATCTTCACCCCTCACCCCTCCCTCAGCCCTTCTGCGGACAGCACGGGTGGGACCCACCTTTCCCCAACTCCTTCCGGTTAGCCGCTGCAGGCAGGCCTGGCGCCCGACCTGAGCAGGGCTCTGGAGTACTCTGGCCCTCTCTCTCCACCCTTGTTCTGGACTTTTCTGATGGGGCACACGTTTCCCTGGGATGCGACTGTCTGTGTCTGTGTCCCGCTCTTCAACCAGACTGGGGCAGGGGCCAGCCAAGTATACAGGAGGAATTCAAATGGCCAGGTACACAGGCAGCCTTAAAAATGTGAATCGGGTGGCTCGAATGGATGAATGAATGAGCAAAGGAATGACCAGATGGAGTGAGGTGATGGCGCACACACCCCCTCCCAAGCTCGGGAAGGCGCCTGCCCTGTGCTGTGTTTCCTGAACGCCTGCCTGCCCCCACTGCCCTCGCTCTGTTCCAGTCGCGACCTGTGCCCCCTCCACGGGCAGAGACGGGGCAGAGGCTTACAGCACCTGGCACTGGGAGTCCTAAGGAAACATTTCTGAGGACTGAATGAATGCTCATTTCTGCAAATGAATGAAGGAAACCTGTTCTTTCCTTTCACCTCACTGGGGCTTCCGGGGACTTGACAGGACCTGGAGGGGTCCCCAGTGCATGCCTGGTGCTGGCAGCAGCAGGAAACGCGAGCTGGGCCAGGCAGCCCTGGCCATGGGGACACCGCGCCTTCTTAGGGCATCACCTCTTCCCTGCCCCTGACCTCGTCTTCCCCTCCTGGGCCTTCCCATCTCTCTGGATCCGCCCGCCATAGCAGCTCTCTAACTGCAGGGTGTGTGTCTCCCTGTCTGCACGCCTCCCTCTCTCTCCTTTCTGTGTCATTTTCATAACGCCCCCCCCAATTACCTAAATTCCTTTTCCCTCCGTCTTCCTCCCACATTCTCTTTCCCCTTCACTCCAATAGGGCTCCCATTTCCACCACTGCACTGAAACGACCTCTTATCATCAGCCACGACAATGTCATCAAACCCAGTGGTCACTCTGCTCTCGGGATCTCTCTCTAGCTCTCGGCAGCATCCGGCTCGCCTGGCCGCCTCCACCCCTTCTTGAAACACTTTTGTGCTCTCGTCCTCTGTGACTCTCCTGGATTCGGCCTGCCTCTTTGTCACTCCTTATCAACTCCCTTTGCTACATCCTCTCCAAACCCCCAACCCCCACCAATGCAGATGCCCTGGTGGCTCTGGCCAGGGTCACCTCTGTGTCCACAATCACCTGCTAGGTGACCTCACCCAGTCCTGTGGCTTTAAATGTCTCCTACATGCTGACGTTTCCAAAACTTGTATTTCTAGCCAGGACCTCTCCCCTAAGCTCTGGTCTCAGGTATCCAACTGGCTACTTGATACCCCGACTTGGATTTCCCACAGGCATCTCCAACTCAACACATCCAAAAGTGAACCCTTGGTTCCTCCCACCCAAAGCCCATTTCCTTATCCCAGTCTCCCCTTCCTGGCCACGACACACAGCAGCACCGTCCCAAGATGCACAAGCCCAATTCGAAGAATTCCTCTCTTCCCCTTAGCTTGGTTTCTCATCGCCTCCCCTATGACACCCAATTCACCACCACTGCAGGGTCTATCGCCACAGTCCCACACCTGTCCCCCCCGTTTCCCTCCATCTCGCTAACTCCACCCTGCTCCAGGCCACCTGCAGCCTCGACTGGACGAGGACAACAGCCCCTAACTCCTCGCATCCACTTCCGACTCCTGAAGTCAGTCCTCAGCACAGCAAAGGGATTCTGTTGTTCCTTTGTTTAAATAAAAACACGATCATGGCTCAAAACCCTTTAAAGGACTTCTCTTCAGATCTAGAATAAAATTCGGATTGCTTCTCAGGGCTGCCTGGTCAGCCTCACGCTGCGCTTCGGCTTCACACCCCGTTTGCTCACCCCACAGCCTCCTCCAAAACCTGTTACTCCTCAGGCTTTTGTGCTGCCTCTTGCGGGTGGAATCCTTGTCCCCAGATTTTCTCACCTCCCTTTCCTTCTCACGATCTCCCTGACCTCTGCAGTGAGGTCTTCCGGAAGCACCTTATCTAAAGTCGCCCTTGCCGCCATTCTGTTCCCACGCTCTGCTTAATTTTTAAAGCACTTTTCAGTCTCTGAAATGATCTTATTATTTATTGTTTGTCTCTCCTGTGAGTCCCAGGAGAGCGGGACCTTGTCCGTCCGTTCACCGCCACATTCCTTGGGCCTAGACTGGGTCTAGAACAGGTTGGCGCTCAAAAAATATTTCTTGAATACTGAAAAAACAAAACAAAACAAAACACGGATCATTCCTGAACTCTATTCGTACTGCTAAGTTGCCACATTTCTTTTTGTGCGTATCTCTGAATCTTCCTCTGTGGTTTAGACCCCTCTCTGTCTCTCTGTGGTTTATCCACCTTTGTGGGGTTTTTGTTTTTTCGTATCTCTGAGACTTCTCTCCTTCAATCTGCGCATCTTTTGTCTGTCTCTCTCCTGCCCCTTTTTTTCTCCTCTCTGGCTCACCTTCCTGTGTCTTTGACTTTTTCTGTCTTTGTCACTAAACTAGTTTTGGTGTCTTCTGCCATCCTCTCCTGCCCACCTCTCTCTTCCTCCTGCCCACCCTCCATCACTCTTGCTCTACATTTGACCTTTGAACTCTAGAATCCACTCTCCCCCAACCAGTTCCGTCTCCCTCGTCCAGCAAAGAAAATCCTCCACCAAATTTATCTCTTTTAACTCCCGTCCCCCTCCTCTCTGTCTCATCCTCCCTACACTCTGTCCTCCATCTCGCTCACTTGTATTCTTTTCCCTACATTTTCCATCATCCCTCCCTAAAACTCCCTCCACAATTGCCCCCGAAGCCCCTGACCTCCAGTCTCACCCCCTTCCTGGTGCTTTAACATACGGCCCCCCGGAGGGAAATTTGGAACATCCAGCTCTTATGTGGTCCCTCCTCGGTTCCAGCCCTCTCTGCTGTCCCACCTTCCCAAGATGAAGGCTCTCGAAGGCCCTGGCAGGGGGTCACCATCGCTACCCACTTCCTTCTTTGCACTGTCT